CTTCTAAATGCAGATACTGACCCTTGGAATAAAAATCTCCAGAGGTTAAGACTAAGAAAGTACAGTGATGCCTCCTCAGTAGTCGACTCAATTCATTCCAAATTCATGTTCAAACACTGAAAAGTTCAAGAACTGAACATATTTTTCCCATAAAAAGTTATTTTAAAAAGCCAAATAATTAGTTCTGAGGCCCCAAGATTATACTTACACACTCATTTTTCCAGGACTTTAACAAATTTTGCAGTGGTTTCTTTCTTTAACTCTATCATGGTTCTCACTGTTTTCCTCTTAGCTTTGCTGTTAGCTCACTAACTTTGTTTGCAGCCATGGTTATGAGATTTTATGCAAATAAAGTGCACATCAAAAAAGCGCAGTGATGCAGTGAGGCAGCACCGCAGCACTGTGGCCATGTGGGCTGGAGCAGCTCTCGGGCTGAAGGTCGCCCTGTGTCACAGAGAGATGCCGAGCACCTCACTCTCAGCTGACAGGGTTTGTCGTGTCAGATTTTTGGTGGACTCTCCTGCAAACAACCAACACCAAGAGGATGTTCTGTTCCAGTAGTGAAAGTTCGAGCCTGGAGCTGTCCGACAGCCAAGGCTTCACCGTATAGGCTTAAAAAGCTCCCAAGGTCATTCTAATACAGACTCCAGTTAAGGATTCACTGATTGAAGTAATTGGTAATAATGTGGTTTACTATGTCTCAAAAACCAAAGGCTGCACAGACCCTCTAAGTTCTAAATACTCACTCCCATACATGGATCCTGAAACAAAGCAGGGATGAGAACAAAGATTTGATTTCAAGGGTGTTTGATGCATATCTCTTCAGAGTTAGAAGAAAATGAGGAGAAATTGATTGACTGGAGCAAGATACTGAGCACCATAAAAGTTTGTTTTAAATGTGGTTCTCCTTACTGCACCATGTTAGTAGACTGTTGACCTTTTATTAGGGTTAAAAAAGAATATGAGAGGTACCATCAAAGTCTGTAACTATGAGAGGTATACAAGGGAATATTAGCAACAATTTTAACTGGGTGTTAAGGTTGCAATGTTCTACTAAAGGCATCATTTTTGTATCAAACCTTAAAACGTCCTATTCTCCATGACAGAATTTAGATCAGAACTACGCTAGAGTACCGAAGACTCTCCTGGCTAATGGTCCCCATTAAGCAGGGTTCTGTGGCCAGCGACATTTACCCAGTGGTTACTGAGGGCAGGCGGGTGTGACACCATCCTGAGTAGTCTCACAGATGCCATCTCAGGCAGTTCTCGTGGTCTTCTGACCCCCAGGTGTGAACCGCTACTGATTTGTTCTACAGACGGTGAAAATGGGACTTGGCTAGGTAAGTACAGATGCCTAAGACAAATACACGAGACGCGTCCACAGGATTTCTCTGAATCATTTCTTGCATCTTAAACCTGTGAACCTACAACTACTTCAAAACCAAAAGTTTAGTTTTTGTGGAAAGCAGTTGGCAGAGCACACAGCACTGCTGGCCGGAGCAGCTGTACCTTCTCAGCCCTCAGGTGCTGACTCAGTCCCATGGAACTGCCCTCCGGCCTCTCCTCAAGGCTGCCTTATCCGGCGCCCTAAGGGATGCTGGCCTCTGCAGTATGGTGCTGAAGCCACCGTGGAGGCCACGTGCAGGTCTGCCAGGTGCAGTCAGGGCAGCCGGCTGGAGCTGGTGCCAAGGCAGCATGCAAGGGAGGGCACAGGAGTCAGTGGGCACTTTGCCTGGCAGGGACTCTGGGATAGGACCCTCCATAGACATGCAAATTGGATTCTGTGTAATTTGTGCTTTTTCAATAACCTCAGCATGTGTTAGATGTGTACAAAAAGAGCCGTAAAATAAAGTTCCAGACAAAGGGGGGAGTCAGAACATAGAAAGAGAAAGAAGCAGTTGATTCCATGAGCCAAACAATGGGTCATAATAAATTTGCCAGCCATTAGCTCTTTGGTTGCATGGAACAAAGAAATGGAAATGAAACGGGAGAGAGGCGTCTCAGTTAACTGTTGGCTGACTGGGCCGCTTTCACTGGGCCAAGCAGACAGACCTTAAGATGGATAGGGCTGCCTGGCCACCTGCTACCTCTGGGTCAGCCTACACCTGCCTGCCACTGGGCCCTGGCTCTTCCATATGTTCAGGTCCCACATGGCAGTTTTCCTTAAGGAAAACAAGTACTTCGGAGATCCAGCTGGGGGCTGGGGAAGCCCAGGGATTGCCCAGCACATGTGGGGTCTTAGGTTTGTTTCCCAGCACTGTAAAAAAATTTTTTTTTAATTTCTAAGTGTCACCAACTAATCCATAGTCACCCGTCCTCCAAAGAATAAAATAAACAGAATATCAAGGGAGAAATAAAGAGATATAAAGGAAAAAGCTGAAACATAAAGAAACTGAAAGGAAGCGGGGAGAGAGAAACCTAGAGGCTGAAGAACCTGAACGGCAGTGTGAGTACTGGGCTCCTACAGCAGCTCCTCATCATCGCCAAGTATTGATTGTGGCCCCAGACCCAAGGGCAGCTCCCAAACAGAGCTTCATAGCTGTCCCACACCGGAGGGGCCTTTCAAGCATGCGGGGGAACTGTCTTCTGGGGGGAGAATGTCTCCGTATTGGTTTTTATGTGTCTTTTCATTTTTGTCATCCAAATAGATTCCAAAGGCTTTGAGAACTGTGTCTAGAATTCAGCTATGTGTCCTAAATGTCAAGCACGGGCCAGACTCATTTTAAGTATTCCAACAATACTGTAATATTTACTAAGTGAATATATGAGTTTTGGATGGATGGATGGATGGATGTAGGGGAGGGGGTGGGTGGGTGAGCGGATGGGTGTGTGGATGAATGAGTGTGTGGATAGATGGGTGGATGGACAGGTGATGGGTGGATGGACAGGTGGATGGGTGGGTGGACAGGTGATGGGTGGGTGGACAGG